TATTTAGTTTAAATTATTGTGGAAGTCTCTAATAAGTGGAAATAATAAAGCCGTTGATTATTATTATTATTATTAAATATTCTGTACTAATCTGGAACGTTCGGGAGCATCACGGAATATCCCAGAAGTATGTTACCCAACATTAAACATACCTATGTGAGTAAATATCTACCTCAAGACGATACAGAACGAAAAACAAACTTGCATTGTATTATCAGGCTGCTTTTCTGCACGATAGCTTCAATGTTGTGAAAAACTCCCAAGAAATCAATCGAAAGTGTAAAGTTTGAAGGATAATTCCAATGTGAATGAAATGCTTGAGGTAACTGTAGAGTTTATTTAGTAAGAATGATTATCATCAAATATTTGAATGGATTTAACATCTTGAGCGATCATCGATATGGCTTTCGGAAACAAAGATCAACAGGCGACCTTCTTACGTATAATAATAATAATCTTCTTCATTATTTTCAATAAATATAAAAAAACAAGATTGAGGATGTGCACCAACAGAATTTTTTTTTAAATGAAGGGCGAAGTTCAGTTCAGTTCAGTTCCTGAATAAATTCAACAACTGAACTGTTCTTTTTCTTCTCTATAACGCCCATATTTGGAATAACGCAATCGGGAAACATGGATAGTCAAGAGCTGTTGCGAGAGATATTTCTAAGGCATTTGACCGTGTGAGGCGTGAGGGTATGCTGGCCAAACGTCGATGATATGGCTTGTCGAATCATTTTTGTGAACTGCTGTCCAGCCTCCTGAAAAGTTCACAGCAAGTGGCCGTCGATGCATGACTTTCGAATACATCTACCATCAATGCTGGTGCTTCCCAGGGATCCATATTGTCTTCAACCCTCTTTTTACTGTATAACAACGACTTATTGGAAAAAACGAAGATTCCAATATATTGTTTTGCTGACGACAGCACACTTGTCACGTCATCTTATTTGAATAAGAGGACATCGGCTGTGGATGCCCATCTTCACCGGCACTAGGAGGTTGCATATCTTAATGAGGATCTAGAAGTGATTTCGATCGGTTTTCTCCAAAAAGATAAATGTCTCCGAGCCAGATATAATAATGTCAGGACAGACAATTCCGCTTCCTGCTACGATGAGTTTGTTGGAGGGTAAAATGGACACCAATATATCTTGGCACAATCATGTCGCTGGAATTGCAAAGGCTGCTTCTCAGAAGCTTAGAACACTGTTCTGAACCAGAAAATTGTAAACTCCTCAGCAACTTTTGATGCTTTATAAAACTTAGATCAGACTCTCTTTGGAGTATTGTTTTCATGTATAGAGCTACGTCTCTAAGCATACCCTGCAGCTACTGGATTCCATCAGAAAAGAGCCATTCGTCTAATTGAGAACACGAACATCACTCACAACTTTAATGGTCTGGAACATCAAAAAAAGGTTGGGGATTTGTCCCTCTTCTATAGATACTTTCACGAAAAGTGTTCAAGTGACTCGGCATATTTGATTCTACCATCGGCTCTCTAGAGAGAATCTNTGAGGTTCAGATTAATACACCTCGAACGTCACTATTTAAGAACTCTTTCATTTGGAGAACTGCGTTTTTGTGGAATAAACTTCCTTAGAACGTTTTTCCAAATGGATTCAATCTCCAGCGATTCAAATCCAATATGAATCGCTACTTTCACACAGGCATCGCTCTTAGAGCACCTTGAGGATGTTTCTGCAGTGCTTGTGTTTCGTCCTTGAAAATATTGTATCCGCCTGCATGACTTTTCACTTACCTTTCAACATGTGACCATTATTCAAAACAATGAAATTTACATAGTAAGCTGGATTTTGAAGATAGATATATGCCATCGCAAACTATTTCGTATCAAGAACAGTTAGTGAAAATATTGTATCCCTAAGAATTTAGTCGTGTTTTAGATGAAATTTCGCAAGGTAGCACCACCGCCCGACTTTTACGAACACCATAGTCATATTCTAACCAATTCATACTTTCTCTTGAATCACATCGTCAATTAATGATAATCATATGAAAATCTGTAGGACAGTTTTCAAGTTTGAGGCGTTCAGCCTGGCAGACGAACACCGCGAAAGACTGGTTTATAATTTGTTTTGATGTAGTTTCATAAACAGATGTGAGTTTCTCGACAAGGGTTCGACATATTTAAAATTTTATCACGGATGAGTGAATTGGAAAAATACTGTTTGAAATAATTGGTTTATAAAAGCATTATGTTGTTCTATCGAATTGGAAAATCCAAACAGAAAAAAACAAAGAGAGTGTAAATTGAACTCTGTAATCGAACAGAGGGATGTAGTCATATTTTTTTTAAACAGACTTTTCAGTTCTTTGTTACGAAACATTTACGGTTATGGGAACAATTTTTTCTTGTATGTTTTGGTCACTATGTATTGGGGTTCCGAATAAATTGGCCTCTTGCTTTTAATCCCATGAAACCATGGTTTCATTAAAAGACTGATTGGATCACCAGTTGATATCAGATCTAAGGATTGGTGAGTGTGGCTAATGATAATTTTTTCACCATCCTCCTGGAAAAATATATTTGCCAAACAGTAAGTTTTCTCAGAGGTAAAAGTCTTGCAGATTCTTCTCTTCTACATATGTCATCAGTAGTACTGACCCAATCATGCATGAAACGTTCAAATATTTGCTAAATTTGAAATATTCTGTTCCTATTTCCTATAGTTTTGAGGAGAATCAATCAAGAGAAAGACACCAAACTACGATTATCAAAAATGGACGAGGGTTTAATGGCAAAGCTCAGTTTGGACATGCACGGCCGAATGAGAATTGGCTTTCTATCTCTTAGAAAACAGTTGCCTGCAGCTGGCTTGCAACAGAGTACGAAAGAGGTGCATTTATGATTTTATACCAGATGGGACTGTCTCAAAGTTGTTGCATATAGGAACTAAAGAGTTCATACTTTGCAACCATTACCAAAAAAAGGATGATACATTCCAAATGGCCTGAAGTAGTACCTTACCCAACCAAGAGGCTAAAACGGCGGCAGAAGCCCTGTTGCAGAACATAGTTGCCAGAAACGGAATAACACAAGAACAACACTCGAGTCAGGGTCGCAACTACGAATCAGATTTATGGAAGGAAGGAAATTATGACTCTGTTGGGAATAAAGAAGACAAGAACAACTGCTCTCCACCCACAGTCCGATAGAATGGTCGAGAGGTATAATGGAACCATCAATAACTACCTCTCGATGTTTGTCTCAGAAAAACAAAGAGACTAGGATAAATTGTTTCCTATTTTTCTGTTGGCATACAGGAGCCAGCAACATGACGCGACAGGTTACACAACATTCATGTTGTTAACTGGTAGGAAACTGAAGCTTCCGATACATGTATTGTGTGGCAGTCCTTTCGATGAATCTCAAGAGGTACCTCTTTCAGAATGTGAATGACCTGAAGCAGAGACTGGAAATTGTACACGAATTTGACAGGACCAAATTACAGCTTCTCAGCGACAGGATGAAGATGAGATTTGACAAAAAATCGTTGACAGTGAGCTTCAAGGAGGGCGATGGATTGTTGATATACCACCCCAACGTCGAAAAGGTTTGTGTTTCAAGTTGCAGAGACCATGGCAAGGACCTTAATCAGTAACCAAAAAGATAAACAATCTGGTGTACAGAATCCAATTGTCACCCAGAAGCAAGTCTGAAGTTGTCCACATAGAGAAGCTGAGTCCTCACATGGATCGTGATTTCCCCTCTTGGAATGTTGTTCGGGGCGAACAACCTCAGGAAAGGGGGTAGTGTTGTGAATCACGTTCTAAAGAAAATAAAGCCGGCCGCCGCTGGTGGCCGTAAACCAATGGTGACTTAGCTAAAAGCACGCGAATGTACGATGTTCGCTGCCGCTCTAGATGAGCGAGAATACTGCTATCGAGTTTGACAGAATTCCAGTGGAATTTTCTAGAGCATTCGACTACGATATACAGTGTGTCCGCAAAGTATGGAATAAATTCGATATTTCCAAAATCAAAGGTCGGTTTACAAAAAAAAAATGTACGCAAATCAGGTCGTCCTTCTGTAAATGATGATACAAAACTAGATATTCTACTTGCTTCTGAAGAAGATATGCACACTTCTGTTCGTAAGGTTAGTCGTGATTTCGATGTCAGTAAAACAACTGTACACAAAGTATTGAAATTGGAAAAATGACATCCCTTTAAAATCGAACTCCTACAGGAATTAAACGAGGATGATCCAGATAGAAAAATAGAATTTTGTGAAGCCATGATGGATAACTGTCACCGAGACCGTCTCCTCGTAAAAAATATAATTTTTTCTGATGAAACCACTTTTACATTAAATGGTGGGGTCAACCGTCAGAATTGTAGGTACTGGGACAAAGAAAACCCCCACTGGATGCGTGAGCATCATACACAATACCCGCAAAAGGTAAATATATGAGCTGGCATTGTAAGAAACAGGATCATCGGACCCTACTTTTTCGAAACCAGCAAATATTCAGCAATTTGAAGGGAGAATTCGAACAGAAACCATAAACAAGGTTCAACAAGAATTTATTCAACGTTTAGGTTACTGTCAAATACAGCAAGGAATACAGTTCGAACATTTAAAATGAAGTCATTGTTAAATTAATCATTATAAAAAAATATAAAATAATTAATTGATTTCTACTTTTATTAGATATCAATAAAATTTATTTTCTAAGCGCACATCTTTCAAATTCATTCCATACTTTGCAGACATACTGTATAAAGGCTAGCAACGAGCATATCGACACAGTTAAGTAGAAATTACAGTACGGTTCGCGAAACGATCTAGTGAGGCGATAGACATTCGGATAACAGTTGAAGTGTTTGTTGTATTTAAAGTGAAATAAAGTTAAGTTGGATTATTGTTCAGCATAGTCAATTATTGATCAACCCACGGGGAAAAACGTAACATTTTGTTGAGATCATAGGTCAGAAGCTGAACATGGTAAACAAGAAAATCAATGAGACAATTTCATCAAATATTCTCAATATCACTCTTTTTATTTTTTTATTCTACACGTAACTCAATACAAATATTATGACGACAATTTCAAGGATTCCTTTTCGCATTGTATCAACTTCATGGTTTGGTCCCAAATTGTTCTGATCAATTCCTCATCTTTAGCGGTTTTATATGTAGGAACTACAGTGCATTCTTCAAAATGTCGACCAGAATAATGTTCTATACCTTGTTGCAAAGCTGCATGTAACGTTGTCTGGGCACCTTCCTCAGGTGTCTGTGAGAGAAAATTGAAATATAATTGTATTGAGTGGAAAGTTTAACTTTATCAGCGGATCAAACGAGCTCAACTGTTTAATATAGCTTACAATGATTTTTTGAATCGGAAAATATTACTTTCTCCTTTCAAATTCATCTCAATCCCAACACATTATAAACTAGGAGTGACACATTGAGATGTACAACAGCTTCGACTTCAGAAAGTTGTCGTATTTAAGGGGACGACGGCTTGTTAATATCAAGATCCATTTCAACCCATTGTAGAAGTTGAAAATTATTTTATTTATTCATGAAAAATGAGAAATAAAACTTTTATTTGTAGCTAATGTTATTGCAGTTTCGTCCTACATTTTCAAACTAATAGATAATGATAATACTAATACTATTACATAATACTGATATATAATACAATGATTTTGAATTAGTTTGAGAATGTCCGTGTAGGACTAAACTACAGTAACGATAGTTACAAATACAAGTGGTATAAAAACACAGGAAGTTTTATTTATCATTTTTATAACGATATTCTATCACCAAGTAACGGCTACATCCATCAATTTATTTCAATGAAGGTGTAAAATACTTAGTTGATGATTGCATGTACTCAAGCCGGCTGCAGTTGCTTCATCGTATTGTTTAAGGACAGTCTGTTGTTGTGAACAACCTAACAGTTGTTTGAATTCTCTGAGCATTAAACGAATGCTCAGATGAGCAGAAGAGTTCTGCTGACAGCAGTATTGTCAGCTTTCTGGTGTATTTTTGACAATTTCGAGAACGATTCGCATCTTTATATTGTTTTTAACAGTTGCCCATGATTTATACGTCATCCGATTTAAAATAGACTGCCCTTGCCATGTTCCAGACCTGTGAATTGGTCACGATACTGTGTAGTCTTTTGGACTTGCTAAGACCATTGACGATTACACTACTGTTAGCATGATATCAGTCACTTGTATCGACAATATTTCAACAAACATGGAGAAGAAAAACTTCACAGTGGAGATTACTGATCCATGCTAATCCGATAGTGAAGTAACAAACGACCCTCATGATATATCAGCTTATAACTGGAATCAGTTGGAATCTTATAAACTATGAGAGAAATGAAATCGTAGGTTCAACAAAAAAGTCCAATCTGAAACCCGAAGAACTCAATATTTTTTTCCTGAATATTGCCGAAGAAGTCATGAAAACTTTACCCAGCTCCAATCATCGCGCCACTGATTTCCTGAAATAGTTAAAAACCTAAAGACTCTCCATTTCTATCACCTGTGAGCCATGAAGAAGTAAAGAATGCCATAAAAAGCTAAAAGATTCACATTGTTTTGATGTATATTGGCTGAATGCCAAAATTATTAAAGGAACCTCAATTGTACTTCTAGAGCCGTTAAGTAAAATGATGAACCAATGTTTTCTGAATGGAACCTTTCCTGATAACTTAAAAATTACCAAAGCAATACCTACCAGTTCTAAAAAAGGGAGATCCTGACTTGGCCGACAAATAATAGAGACAATTTCGAAGGATCGTCTACTAAACTATTTCAAAATGTATAGTACTCTGGGTGGGAACTAAATGCTCTACGATACAAGTAGTTCATAAGATTATTACTGACGTAGTCGAGGACTTTGAGAGAGGGGAATACACCGAAGTCACCCTGTGTGACCTTTCCAAAGCGTCTCACACAATAAACTCTTAGATAAATTGAACTTTCATGGCATACGAGGTATTCCACTTGAATTCGTGCAGGTCCAGTAACTTAGATTTCTAGCAACGTCAATTTCATTATGTAGGATCCAATATGCAGTCAAGCTATTTCTGTCTATCAGTTCCTTAAATTATTCATAACATTCTCCGAGCAATTTCGATGTTACTCTTGGGATCATCAATGCCTCAAGTGCATTAACGTCCGCTCATTTTGTTGAGGCCACAAATCAATATTTCGTTCTCATTGTATTCACTTTCATATGGAAAATTATTGTGTATCAATTAGGCTGTGATGTTACATCATACTCGCACAGAATATTCCAGCTAACCTTTCATGTTCAATTTTTAACTCGTCTGTATTTCAAAAGGTTCGTAAATATGCAGTTTGAATAGAAAGTGTGTTTCGGTGTATGCTTTCAATAACTTTATCCATATGATTCAATAACGTTTTCTTAAATAATCAACGAATTAGTCGACTATTGACAATTGAGATAGATAAAACTGCAGAATCCTTAAAATGTATTTCCTATTATCTTGAAATCCTAAAAATCTTTATAAGGATCAAATTCGAAGAAAATTTAAAAAAAATGTCATGCTTTCTTTTTCGCTAGTTCTCATGGAATAGGCTATCATTCTGGAATCCATACGAAAGAACTTTAACGGAAGCATGAAAAAAAAATTCCCTGCTAATACCACGCTTGATATTGAATTATATCCGACAGACATTCATGCAAGATACCTCACAGAGGTTAGTCTCGCAGATGTTTCTTGTTCATCCAGCAGCAGGACTGTGCTGAAATTATTCGAATAGATCACCTGCAGACCGCGGTTTCGAAGTAATAACTCTCGTCAGTGCAGGAAAGATACATCCCAAACAGCAGTGTGCCTAGAACTCGATTAATTTCAACTTGGCTCGACTGCATGTATGAAACGTTCGTTTAAAACAAAGATTGTTAACTAGTATCAATTCTCTTCCGTGAACAAAGCCACAAGCGGAAAAGAAACATCTTATCATATACCAAAACTCTAACAGAAATCAAAAGTGAAAGCTATCGAGAAGAGATACATACGTATAAGAAAAATTGATATTTAGAAATGAATTTTGAAATATTAACCTCTCCCAACTACCTACGCAGTAGGGTCTGTCGTCGGAAAATAACTACTTTCCTGGCTAATACCACGCTGGAATGAGACGACTTACTTTCAAGATGAACTTGCCAATTAGCCTTAGGAACCGGGGTATTTTCCTAAACAACTCGGAATTTATGGCTCCTGGATGCAACGAAAATACGCTCAAGTTGGAGTTTGCCAAAAGTTGGGCCAGTCTCATTGTGAAGAAAATATTACCTAATTTACTATTGCTGTAGTTCATCACTAGCCCAGTATACGAGTTAAGATTTTCAGGAGTCAGTTTCGCAAATCTGGCTATCATGGAAGAAACGTTTATAATTCTACTTGGAGCAGATTTCTTCAGTAGATCTGAAAATGAATTTAGTTTTTCATTAAAGTTCACTCATTTGTGTTAGATGTGGAAAAATTTAGAAACATTATTATTTTTCGCTCAAATATGTTCGTAGCATAGAGCACTCTCTATGCCCTGTTTTGTTTTCATTGCCCCACTGGGCAATGAAAACAAGCGTTTGCTGAAAAATTTCTTGTTTTCTTTGTTTATGTGATGTGATGTGTATATATTTGATGAGGCAATAAAAAAATTTATGTAAAGATTATTATTTTTTTCCAAATTGTCATCCTTTAGGAAATCAATCATTATTACCAAAAAAATCATTGAAACAAAAGCTTTCAAGAAGTTTCTTGAATACTAGATAGTTCATGACACGTAACCATTTATTCAAAAATAATATTCACAAAGTGAGTGACACTCAAAATTTGGCATAGTAATTTTTAAAAGAGACTTTTCGAACACAAGGGAATTTCACAAGTGTAAATGAGGAGCATCACCATTGTTTTTGAGTTTCCAAAGACATGGTAGGACATGGAGTTTCTAGACATGGTAGCACTTACTGAAAATATTGCAGAGTTGTGATAGCGATTTTCCATGAATCAGTCATGTTACAAAAAAGAAGCATTGGAGTATTGCTTTTTTTCTAGAGATCATGAAAAAAAATCAATGACAATGATTATTCTGATAACAAAATAACAGGACGTCCCAGGAATATTATAATGATGAATTTTTCAAAATTGACATGTTCTAAAGAGAAGAAGGGAACGAAATAATATTTCATCACATTGAACAATTATTGAAGAGAAAAATAATTGGTTACACAATTCATGTGATATAAAAAGCTTGTCACAATAATCATCTATTGCAGGGGTTCCCAACTGGTGGTACGCGTGTGTGATGTGAGCAACATGCTTTAATAGCAAACATGACTCAGCTCACGGGTCGCTAGAAAAACGAAATACTCATAACCCAATGAACGACCTGACATCTTTGTTTTTCTATCACATTGGAAAATATAATTCTTAGGTAATAAAACAATAAAACACTTTAGGAATTTCACCTAGAAATCCCCAGATAGTACAATTGGTAAACAAACGGTGTTTCACTTTTACCTATAGGTCTTTAAAAGGATTGTCTTTTACCTTTCACTTGGCATTGTAGGTTCGTTGTGGGCGTTGTAATTATATTAATTCTGATGTCACATAAGAAAACTGAACTATGAAACGATTTTTGACGTCCTCTTCTACTTCAAAGGATTGTGCTAAAAAACCTAAATCACCGGCCAATCGTAAATACGATGAAAGCTACTTACAATACTGTTTCATAGTGAAGACAGGGACTGTCATCATTTATTGCCAGGCCAAGATGAGGGAAAGACAGATGGAAGTGGGTTGACGCTACTATCATAGCTTATATGTTGCGGAGGCCCAGAAAGAAATCCAGAGGCGGTGGCGTTATTCAAATCCCTAGAGAAAGTCAATAGAATAGACTTCCCTTTCCGGCGCCCTGAAGACGGATGAACCAAGAAGGAAACCGAACATGTCCAGAAAAAAAAATCTTCTATCCCCTCACCCAAAACTTTTGAAGCCACCGAAAGGCGGATTTTTGGAGGGTCGTCAAGAAACCTAAGCCCGTGGAAAAGCCAGTGGTAACCACAAAAAACAGGTATCAGTCTTTCAGTGACTCTGATTCCGAAATGGATCCACCAGTCTCGTCAGCATTCGATACAAGAAAGCCAACAATGCCAAGAACAAGAAGCCTCCTTCCAATCGTTGTTTAAGGAACAATCCCGATGAATAGAAACTCCATTCGAATCCTTAAGAAACAATTGGAGAAAGATATCTCAGTAAATAACACTGATGTCTACCTTAATATGTACTAAGTAGTGCAGAAACCATTTCTTGATAGTAAACACTATAAAGGGCGCGAAAGTTGAATTTCACACTTATACGATTTTGGAGGACAAAACGCACGCATTTGTCCTCCGGAGCTAGACTTTGCTTCGAAGGTAGAGTAAATTTAGAAGAACCTCCGGTCATGGACAAGAAGGTGAGCCTAAAATTTCCAAGCGAAATGTTCCACCTGTTCTATTCACAAGGGTAAGATGGGACCTACGGAACAATAGCCGAGTGCTGGTGCAGTGTCGCAGATGCCAGCTCTGGGAGCATACCACAAACAAATGTTCCAGAGCCCCGAGGTGCTCAGGTGGGGAGAGCGANTTGTATTCACACCGAGTTGACAACAATAACAACAAACATGGCATATATCAAATTGGTTCATCAGATCTGTGATTGATTGATTGATGGAAAGTGACATCGACGTGTTGCGACTTCAAGAAGGAAATGTTTCATGTGTCTCTAAGCAGTTCAATTCTTTTTCAATTATTTTGTATCTATCATAATGTAACAGACTTCACAAGACTGGAGTCTTACACAGTTGAAAGATATATTCATGGGTAAGTATTATAATTGGATAAAATTGAGGTTTTTGGGTTACTTGAGAAAGAAACTCCGCTATATCAAGTATTGCGTTGTATACGTAGTACCGAAAAAAAAGTAGTGAACTTTGATAGCAACTATTTACCAATCAGTAACATGGTCAGCAGGGTTGGACCAAAGTAATTGATTTGCATCAACAACTGCAAACCATCACTAGTCATACTATGCTCCAGACCACCAACTCCAGCATTATTCACCAATATATCCAATCTTTCTTCGGTATCCAAAATGTTTTTGGCAAACATTCTCACCGAAGTCATTGACGATAAATTGAGAATCTGCACCACCACATTTTCATTTCGTGTTTCTCTCACTATCTTTTGCCTAGCAGTTGTTGCTCTTTCTTCATTCCGACAGGCAAGAATAACACGTGCCCCTCTTTTAGCAAATTCCAAAGCGGTTTCATACCCAATACCTGAAATTATTGAAAGTGAAACTAGTTGATTTTTCATCATCATATCAAATCCTAAAAATTAAACCATATCCCAACCAGGCATTGAATGTATAAATCTATTAAGAACACTTTCACCACACCAGAACAAAAAATACTTTCTCTCTAGGAGCGTCTTGCTAATCAAGTTCGCATCATCAATGTTTACTGTTTATAGAAAAGTACGTCGAGAGATAGAATTTTTGTTGTGATGTGAAAAACGTGTTTCCAATAGATCCATTTTATATGGTTCGAATCCTACCTAGCGAAGTGAATTTCGTGTTGTTTGCTATTTATTTGATGATGGAAACCAGGATGTTTACGGTCACAGTGTCCTACTTTCAAGAGCAAATAAGGAACTTATGGGGAAACAGAAACTCTCATACTATTTTTCGTAGGATGCAAAATAATGGCAAAAGGTTTAAAATTTCGTAGTGGTAGAAATGAATTGTTTGACAATGCTAAGAGATAAGTCATGTTGATTGTAGACGATATTAGTGATCTCGCTCGCATGACTATAATGGACAATAATATTTATATAGGTTTAGAAAGCATATCTCAGAAATACGTTCTCTGTGATTGTAATACCCACATAATGTTGAATTTCAAGATAAAAACCACATATGGGAAATCGGAACGAAATCATACTTATTAGAATATATCCACTGTACACATCTCACACATAGAATCGTGGTAATAATTCCAATCACACTCAAATTATTGAAAGCCAAATCAAACCGCAAACTTCAATACAGCACAGAGTTTTTCTTTCTTATGACTCGGGACTTTATTCATGGGGGCTACTTCAACCGAATTGTATATACTGCATCAACAACTCTTAGTCATCAAAATTGAAGAATTTTATATCTTATGTTTTCATTTGTGGAAATTCAGTGTATTCAAGTCTGAAGCCAAGTTGAAAATCGTATTAAACCCCATAAGTTGATGAATATCAAGGGTACTTCATCAAAGAGTTATTAGATAGTGAACTCGCTGTAATGAGATGTGGTCTCCTACATTTATTCTAGCAGGTATTACAAAACGACCTATCAGGTCAATTCACTATTTCAACCGGAATATTCGATGAAAATTGATGTTGGAAAGTATACCTTTGGACTGAATGAGCATTGTCTACTATTCAGATGTGCGACTTTTGAAAATTGTTGTCCTCATTACACCAGATCAGAACGCTATAAAGATAATTTGTATGAGGACTCCTGTTATGGAACAAGACTCTGTACTGCTCTTGAAGAATATGCCACACATTACGGCCAAAGGAATAGGTACCGAGGGTGTCATACATTCCTGTCTAATCTTCGAAGTTAGGACTCAATTCTGTAATGAGCTCCCCAATTACAAAACACAAATTTTCGTTTTTACGAAACTCAGCTCTCTATCGCTACCGCGGGATAATTTTATTGCAATACTCTCGAAATGTATGAAGTATCGACATACTTCCCGTTTGAATGTACGAGTATTTCGAGTGAATGTATGCGCACGCAAATAACCATCTCAATAGTTTCGAACCAATTAAGGCAAATGTGTCGATTTGGTCTAGCTGTGAAATAACATACAAATATATTGATCGAATTATGCATGGAATAGCAAAATGGAATTAAGATTTCATGTTCAGAATCACATGATCTGTTTCAAATTCACGTTATGACTATAGGGTCGTAAATATTCTGTATATTTTCCATATTATTTGCACTTCCATTTATGTTTCCAAACTCAATGTTATTTCGAAAGGTACAATGATTCTCAACTGAATAATGAATCTGCAGAAATTATGATGTAGAACAAAAAACAATCAAGTCCAAATGAATGTAAATACAATTCTTGAATAGTTTTCCTAAGCAATACAATGAAGAAATACCCTCTAAATGATGAATGAAGATTTCAATATCACCTCAACAATAAAGAAGAAATGAACTATGCATTGAAATAGTTGAAATTGAATCTTCCTGAATTATTTCCAAACATTCTCACCTGTATTGGCACCTGTAACAATGACAGTCTTTCCAACAAGGCACACTTTGCTTCTACACCATTTCTGTTTAAATTTTTTGCGAAATTTGATCAAGATGAATGTTACTAACAGAAAAAATAACACAATAAAAAACATTCTTTTTGGGAGTATATTTCAAGTAAATATGAATGAATAAAAGTGATTACTTCTGTTGATGACATATCAATATAATGATAATGAGTGATGGAACTCTCGATATTACATTACTTATCTCACTGTGATAATGGATAATTCATCAAAACTGATTGTTGTGCACTCAAGATAATACACATGATTTTTCACGGTTATAATTGGTAAGAGTAAACTAATTGGATACAACTCATCGGCTACCCAGTAGTATGACATGTGGTAGTACCAAAATTAAAATGCTTTCAATTTCATGCTATGATTCTAACTGAATTCAACAGCGAACTGGGGAATAAAAATGTCGACATCGAAGAAAATGATAATTACCAACCTGAAATTCACTCAATCTTCCAAAACAACCTTCAATATCGAAAAAACTATGAGAAAACAACTGAAACAATATTTTTCATCCAGCCTAATGCAGGGCATTTCATAGTGAAAGCAGCGAAATATAGATACAACTTTGAAATGTAATAATATATGTAGAGTCGAAGTAAACGAAATTGTGAACCTTTAAAGTTGGCGGCACTCTCAAAGGCCAAAACAAACCAATACATAGAAATGAACCGGCTGCGAAATAGTTCACGTGGACTGCAGAATTGGCGGTTCGTATTTTCATGGTTGGCTGAAGAGTCATAAAATTGTATTTGAAGTCATGTTGCAATGATGAATAAAAATCGGAGAATGCGGAGATGGTTGAAGCTATTGTGTTCAGTTCAGAAACTGATCGCGATTTGAATGTTGAAATTCGATGTTGGTGCAGTTATAATTACTTAAAATGTTTGTTATCTGTACAAAATGTGGCATCCTTGGACAAGTACTAAAAGTATTACCGAGTGTGATAACAACGCAGACTTTTTCCAGTGTAGTGATTCCATTAGCGATGGTTAACAATGCGAAAAATAGATACCCGTAAATGAGATTCGGATTCATTTAAATATTGAGACACAGAGATATGTTTCAATGTATATAAAAATCTACATCTCAGGTTTGTTATCGAGTGGAACAAACTATTACAAGCAATATCACATTAGACCGAAATTATTTTATCAACTGTGGAAAAATACACAAAATAAACCTGATGGACGCAATGGACGCAAGACGCGATGTGATACAGGATTACTAAACTGTTACAAAAGAAATGAGATTCCTACAACTGAAATCATAAGGACGAATTCGAATACCTCCGGCCATAATGCGAGCTGCTGTGACAAAACTCTTCAGAACTGGATATAGAAACTAGGATTGAGATTTAAAATAATGAATGAACGTCAAGCAGTTATAGAAAGCAGAAAAAATATGGAATTTCGTGACGAATACTTAGAACAAATAATATAGACAAGAACAACGACAATTTTTTTTATTTAGACGAAACTACCTAATAATGGTGGAAATGAATTCACTTTTGATTCAAATGACGACAGTTATAGTGAAACAGAGAATATGGAAGAAGAATTATCAAAAGCTCTCAAAGAAAGTTAGTGAAGTGTTTTTGAAGCGATCGAGGATATATATATATATATATATATACGGTGGGTG